TGAGAGAGAGATGAAATGAGCCGCTGGTCTGAAGATCAGATGCAGTGATGAGACTGAGAGAAATGAAGACACAGTTATGAGTGACAGTGTCCCTGCTTCATCAGCCAGTAAAAAGTAATCAGAGAAGTTACAGAAATGCTCACAAGAAGCTCAGCAGCAATCAGACATTATTTGCAAAGAGATTGAAATTGAAAAAATTTTTATTCTTGAGAAGTTCTTGAATTAATACACAGATATTGTTAGAAACACTCTCTCTCTGTCATCTGAGTGAAAACACTTCACAGATGAATGAAGATACTCATAGTTTATAAAGATGAGAGCTGTTACAGAAAAAGAGAAAAGAAGATGAGATTTTACAGACAGATCTGAGATATTTATACTACTCTAGAGAGATTTGCTTACACTGTAAGTGATTTCATAGAACAGTCAGATTACTCTAGTAAATAAGAGTGATTATGAATTGCAGATCTGAATCTTTCTATATGACTATAAAGAGTGATTGTAGACTGTGAATATCTTGATTCTACAATTCTACAGAGTTAATGAAAGAATGAAAAATTCCTCACAATTCTACAGTGTCAAAGAGCAATGATTTATGAGAATAAATGAAAGATTAACTCATAAATGTTTCTCTTTGATAAGAGTAATCTTACAGAGAGTGATTTATCTGTAAGATGAATCTGTGTGATGATCACATAAGAATCTTATAAAAATGATTAAGAGTCAACTGAAACTCTTCTGTATGAAAGATGTGAGATGAATCTATGTGATAGTCAGAGAAGAATCTGTAGATCACAAAGAATCTCATAGAATAAGAAACTGAGTGACAGACTCTTTTCTCTTCACAGTAATAAGGGATTTTTCCTCACTGAGGTTTTTTATAGATATGAAGAATTTTTAGTGAGTATCACTGCAGTGCTGAGCTGACTATGAAGTCACTCAGTGAAAGGCTTTGTGAACAAAGTCTTAGAGAGAGAGAAATATGTAAGAAATTCTGCTTCTTGCAGATTCTTTATCTCTATTTCTATCTCTCATATAATCAATAGAGCTAGCAGCCCTTGGCTACACACAACTATATAGACTGGAGTTCACAAATACTATTCATAACTCAGCTTGAATACTATTATACATTTGACCTCTACATTTTATCTTCCTATTATGAATACTTCTAGTAGTTAACAGTACATATCACGCCAAGCTGCAAACACCTGAATAATCGCCTGCGAGCACTTATTCTTACAAGATGTCACATCTATGCAAAGATACTAAATAAAGTTCTTAATAGAAACTGCTCTCAGAAGCTAGATCTCTGAGTATATATTAAATATCTAATTGAATATGATTTCACAAACATCTATTGAATTTGAATTTCACACTTAGAATGAATAATAAGAGTAGAAGATGTGATGTTTAATAAGAATAGAAAATTCAACTTAGAAGATCTCTATATTAAAAGATAACTAAGAGATTGAGTATCTAAGAAGATGAAGCTTCTATATATGAAAGTTTGAGAATCATCAATAACTTCTATCAATCAATTGAAAGAGATTATAGATGCAGATATTGATATTTTTTATTCTGAAGAAAATGCTCAAAGCTCTGAAAAAATAGAGAAGAAAAATAATATTTCAATTCTTTCTACACTAGATTTAATACCAGAGTCAACAGGTTCTAATGTTAATATTAATACTTATTCAGCTGTGATAGATAGTTGAATATGAAACATTGTATCTAGAGCTTATAATATCAGTACTGACTTTGATGAAGTAAATATTATTGATAACTGCAGAATCTGAAAACACAGAGCTGCTCATCTTATAACAGTTTCAATTGTCAAAGATAATTCTTATTGAATAATCAATGATACATTCTCTCATTTAAATTCACACACAGACTTTAATAAGTCTCAAAATTTATTTTCTAATACTGTTTTCACAGTTATCAATAATACAGCTATATCAAGAATTTATAGATTTTAACTGTCAGATTCACTGAATCACTGAGCAGATATTAAAAAACATCTATATTGTGAAGAATTTGAGAACACTGTTAAGTAAAAATGAGATAGTATATCTCTGTAGAATACATATGAAATTACTAGTAGATTATAAAGAGATATTTCAGTTATTTCTCTATAATAAGTATTTATCTACAAATTTGATAATGAAGATTTTCTTTTAAAATACAAAGCTTATATCTATATATATGAAGATCTTCAATCAATCATAGATCTTACTATAAAAGCTTATACTCTAGCTATCAGAGATTTCTAAATCTCGTTAACTTTAATAGCAGTATTTGATTTAGATATAGAATAGCTAGATGAAATCAATATCTTTATAAATAGTAATATTAATGAGTTAGTATATATAAAACTATCTGATAAATAATAAAAGTTAAAGAGAATGTAAAATTTAAAGTGTATAAAATATGTATTAAAATGTTTATAAGTATTATGTAAATTACACAGATCACTTCTTCTCTGATTAAATAAACTATCTTTAATATTGAGAATACTAGACTTTATCTCTATATCAGAGAATTGATATCTCTTCTCTAATAATTAATTAATTATCTTCTTCTATATAAATGATATCATCATTCTATCATGAAAAGAAGATTTAAAAGAAAGAGATTAATTAATTAAAGATTTTAAAAATATCTATAAAATCTGACAGATGAAAGATTTAAAATGATTTCTCAATATATAAATAATATATAATTATCTTAACTTAAAGCTCTGACTATATCAGAATATCTATATTAATAAGATAGTTAATATATATTATCTTATATATATCTGTAAGATATATATCTCACTAACTAATACTCTGTTAAAGTCTTTTAATAAGTCAGTTATATCTGTAAAAATTCATTATTATTAATAATATATCAGCTTCTATATTTACTCAGTGATAATAACTTACTCTGATATTATATATATAGTGAGTAAACTAGCTATATTTATAATAAATTTATTAAAATATTACTTATTAGAGATGAATAGAATGATATCTTATCTATATAATATAAAGAATCTCACTATTTAATATAATAATAACATTGATAGATCTCTATAACTTAATCTTAAATCTGATATTATTAAAGTTATCAGTAATATCTCTTTCATAAATAATCTGAATTATTACTCTATATAAGAATATATCTTCAAACTATTCAGTGAGACTGTTAATTAAAAATTAAATAGATAGATAATTATAACTATATCTATTATAGAAGCTGAGCTTATTATAATCTTATAAGCTGATAAGAAGTCTATTTAATAAGATAGATTCTTTTAATATATTTAATTTAAATCTGATTATAAGATCTATATTCAATATAATAATTATCAAACTATTAATATTTTTATAAAGAAAGACTTCTCTATAATTACAAAGCTCTGTTATATTAATATATATAAAAGCTGACTCTGAGAATATATTCAATTCAGTGATATTACAGTTAATTGAGTGTCTATGAGACTATGACTCAGATGTCAGTGAATGGCCTTACTAAGACTCTGTTATATCAGAAACATACAGAATTTATCAAGATACTAGACCTAGTTAATATATCAGATATTATTAAGATATAAGCAGAATAAATAATCTATCTTGATATAATCTTTATAGATTCATCTACACTCTTTTAGTTACAGCTTCATTTATACTTTCATTTACATGTTACATTCACTGAAGAGAATGTGTCAGAAAAAAGAGATTATACACTACTGAATATCATCAATATTATATTACTATAATATTTCTCATCATTATCAGCTTACTACAACACTCATCTAATACTCACTTATACTAGCTCTCTTGGCTCACACATATATTTTACTATAAATAGCTCTATCTTTTGTATGAAATAGATATATTAGATAGTGTATGGATAATATAATAAGCAGATCTTGATACAAATAAGATTCATATGTCTCCAACATATTCATCCGTGACACCCAATCCGACATAACTTAACTTAGACCCTTAGGTTTTTTCTAAACTATTTTGGCATATGATTGTTCTCATTCGGTATACATGCGGGCTATACGGAGTAGTCGTGGCGGAGTGGTTACATGTATTTGGCAAGAATCTACAACACACTCTGCACTCATAACTCTGCCTTGGTCTTCATAACCAGTTAGTTGCACTCCGACATATATATACTTGGGAAAAACTACAGCTGCATTTTGCCCAATTTCTTGGAGAGGAAACGCAACTGGTTTGTCGAACAGAGCACAAACTAGCGAGATTTGATTGTGGAGTCCGTAGTTATAGATGATGTATCTTAATTGTATATTCAACATGCAACAACCGCCCCACCACGAACTCGCTCAATTTTTCGAATAAGAACCCGTCGGTAGATCCATCGAACAGCCCTCGATCATACGAGCATTTTGACCCCAACGCCGACCGCATACCCCGTCTGGTGGTGGAGTTATTCAACCAAACGTGGTTCGAAGCCCCCGCGTGGGATATTCCCCCGTCCACCCCTACCACACCACAACCCCGGGTCAAATTGCCATACAAATTGTAAGGTGAAGAGACCTAGCCATATGCGCCAATCTTCTTGATTTTGGAAGATCCCCAACCTGTATTTGATGTTCCGAAACATCAACACCAAGTCCCACCCACGTAAGTTAGTTAGGTGGTTGATTTAATTATGTTACTGCCGAAATGCGCATTTATCTTGTGCATGAACATGAAACACAGTTCAGCTGATTTTCACCCAAGCTGATTTTCACCCAAGCTTCTTTTCTGTAGCGACATCCTCGAAGCAATTGAGTATCGTATTTCCCTTAGATCTCTTCCATCCTAATCTTCCTCAGATAATCAGATAGTCTATAGATAACTGGAGTTGGAGAGAGATTAATTCACTGCGAATCACGTGACCAGTAACATACTCTCCCCGCAGTTTTTATATTGTTGCTTTTTCGTCTCCCCGTTGTGCCTCCGCCGCCGCGCTCTTCGCCTCTCCCACAGGACAAAAAAAAGATGGCGAAAGAATTATCTCCCCAAGAGAAGGTCGATTTGATCTACCACAATCTTCAAGAAGTCTTGAAGCCAGAGCTTATTGAAGATGTCATCCTGCGACAGAACCGCCCATTAAAGGTGTATTTCGGTATGATTTGACAACCCCCACCATTCGCATGAATAGATATAATATCTTTCAAGAGTGCCAATCCCTTCCAATGCCTGAGTAAGTAACTAAATCAAAGTTCCATAAAATTGAAAAAACAACATACAACAGGTACCGCAACAACCGGCCGCCCACACTGCGGCTACTTCTGCCCCGTCGTAAAACTCGCCCACTTCCTCCGTGCAGGCTGCCATGTCAAAATCCTCCTCGCAGACATCCACGGGTTCCTCGACAACCTCAAAGCGCCCATCGACCTCGTCAACTTCCGCGCCAAATACTACCGCTACGTCATCACCGCCCTCCTCGAAGCCATCCACGTCCCCATCGACAAACTCGAGTTCGTCCTCGGCAGCGACTTCCAGCTCTCCCCCAAATACACCATGGACCTGTTCCGCCTTAGCAGCGTCGTGACCGAGCACGATGCCAAGAAGGCCGGCGCGGAGGTCGTGAAGCAGGTTGACAACGCGCCGTTGTCCGGCCTGATCTACCCGCTCATGCAGGCGCTGGATGAGGAGCACCTGGACGTCGACGCGCAGTTTGGCGGGGTCGATCAGCGGAAGATCTTCACGCTGGCGCTGGAGACTTTGCCGCGGATTGGCTACAAGGAGCGCGCGCACCTAATGAGCCCCATGGTGCCTGGGCTGGCGGGCGGGAAGATGTCGGCGTCGGATCCGGATTCTAAGATTGACATTCTGGACACGCCGGAGACGGTGAAGAAGAAGTTGAGGAAGGCGTTTGCGATGCCGAGGGAGACGGAGGGGAATGGGATTATTAGTTTTGTGGAGCATGTGTTGTTCCCTGTTAGTGCGCTGGAGAGCGCGGATGGGAAGGGGACCTTTGTGGTCGAGAGGACGGAGGAGGAGAGCGGTCAGGTTGTTTACGGGGATATTGAGGAGGTGAAGAAGGATTATCGCGCGGATAGGGTGGGGTTTTTTTTTTTCCCGTTGTTTTTCTCCCCCTCCTCGTCTACATATCTCAATTACCCATCCTTCATCCCCACCAAACCCTTCTTTAGGAACATTTTTTACTAACCCGATAAAAACAAATCCAGTTAACCCCCCAACTCCTCAAAGCCGCCGTAACAACCGCGCTCAACAAACTCCTCGCACCCGTCCAGGCCGCCTTCCAAGCTAACCCGGACTGGCAAGAGATCGAGAAGAAGGCATATCCACCCCCACCGGAGCCGGAAAAGAAAAAGAAGAAACCCAAGGATAAGGGAAGCAGATACCCCGGCGGCGGCGCTGCTGCGCCAAAACAGGATGTTGATGGTGTCGAGGAGAAGCTGGAGAAGTTGGCGGTTTAAATAACAGTGGGTGTGTGATTTAAAAAAAAAGGGGGGGGGGGGCCGGGGGAGAGCTTTCGAAGAAGATAGATAGCCGCTAAGTGGCTAGGCGTGTGGAGGAGGCGTTGGCGTGGAGTCTCTCTCTCTCTCTTTCTCCTCCCTTATCCATGATTGTTATTTGGGGGTGAAAAGGTGGAGAGAGTGTTTTCCCGGAAGACGGGGCTTTTTTTTTTTTTTTGTTTAATTTTTCCATTTGTCTTTTCATTTTGATCCTACACGACTGCACGACTTCAGAATATTAAAAATATAGAGAGTAACTATTTCTTGTATGTGAAAGAGGGCGAGCGGCGGGTAGTATTCACACTAAAGAAAATAGCATAATAAAGCACTGTAGACAACTTTTTGCTTAACTTTTTTTTTTTTTTTTTTTTTTTTTTTTTTACCGGAACATTTTATTGTTGCATCTGGCCTCTATTGTAACTACAATATACAGAATACGTAGGTACAGTACAAACTGAGCTGGGTACGCAAGTTATCAGGAATTCGAAATAAATCAAAGCAACCAACCACAACCAACCAACCAGCTTGCAAACAAAGTTTTCGCAAACAGATATCAGAGCGAAACGATCTGTCTCCTCGTCAAGCCAATTTCAGTGTCTCGCTTCAGGCGGCTCCCCCAGTATTCTCTTTCTCTTTCTATGGTTGAATAAAAGGGGGGAGGAAAAAGGGGCTAGTCAAATCACCGGCGCTTCTGGACGACCGCCGTTTTCCCGGGTTGATTTTGCATGGTATGAGATGTAACCCGGGGAAGGGGGACCGCGTGAAGGGTTCATTCTCGGGAGGCTACGCTCGAGGACAGCCTTCCCTCCCACCCCAGTTCAATTGCCCATCGCCTTCTACTCCGTCCATCCGCTCTCAGCATTGAGTCGAATTCGTCTTCTTGTGAGATCCGGCTTTTTCATATCCGGAACTTCATGCATACATCCTCTTCCTCGTGTCCCTCCCCTCTCATGCCACATGTTTCTCCTCTGTATGACATTCGACATTCGTACAGCGAGACAATGATGAGACGGACACGAGTCCCGCGCACGCCGTTTCAACTCAGTATGTCCATATATCACTTTTTCTGTTTTATTTCTTCTCTTTCCTGTCAGCCAAACCAAACCTCTCTGTCCCACCTTCTTTGGAATGTTGAGGTCTTTCCGGGGAAAAAAAAGGAAAACCCCATCCGTATGGGAAATATAGCATGCCAAACGATATAGCCTGCGATAGGCTAGCTGGTTGTCTCGCAGCGTAACGGGTCCAAATCCCGGTCAAAAAAAAAAGAAAAAATAATGCAATCATAATCATCCCCGCCCCGTCTGCCTTATCAGGCAACAGAAGAGGACAAGAGCAGAAAACCCCTTTTTAGTATGTTCCCCAACTCCATAACACATGCCACAACATTAAGAAAGAAACAATCCCACGAAAGTATAAAGAAAAAAAGAAAAAAGGAAAAAAAGATAGCCCTTCTTAAAAGAACAAAACCAAAATGAAACCAACGGAAACCAATAGTCTAAAACCCCCCAAACCCCTGCCCATACGGCGTAGCCCCATACGGCGTCGCGCCACCCGCACCGCCCCAAACGCTCCCACCCCCAGCACTCCCGCCAACACTATTAGCCGCATAGGCCGTATAGCCACCATCCAGCCCCTCCGGTGGCTCATAGGCGTCGGGGCTCCGGCCACCATCCTCATCGATGCCGTTCAGGGCAGCGCCGTCGCGATCCGTATCGCCCGCGCCGGTCAGGGCGGAGATGATCTCTGCAAGCTTGCGTTGGAGGACGGTGATGCCCTGTTGGACGATGGCGTCTGGCTCGAGGTTGCCGATGCTTTCGACGTCGAGGTAGAAGGTGGAGGGTTGGGCGTCGTAGTCGAAGGGCATGTCGGGTTGTGTCGGGGTTTCCCATTCTGCGTTTGCAGAGACGGGCCTGTGGTGGAAAACATAATGTCAATATCAAATATGAAAATAGGTTTTGACTTAAAAAGGGAAACGGAGCAGGGGCAAAACATACCACTCCTTAATCGGATCCTCCTCATACCAATAATCCACATGCTTCAAGTTATTATGCGGGTCATACTCAAACCCCACCGCCGCCGTCGGCGCCCACTTCGCATGCTCCTTCGCAATCCCCTTCTTCGCAACACACGTCATCTTAATCTCCTGGCCCCTCCGCAACTTACAAATCAACGGCCCTTTCCCCTCCGCATCCGTAATAACCGGGTTACCCACCCACTCATTCGCCCGGTCGCCCACCACCACCAGATCGCGCGCGTACACCTTCATGATGTCCTCGCCCGTGCATCGCGCCTGGAGCGATAGGGTGACGACGCAGCGCGCACAGCCGCCCTCGCAGTCGCAGTCGCGCGAGTAATACATGTCCGCGTCGCAGTTTTTGGAGTTGAGCGGGATGAGGCCGAGGCGGTGGGCGATGAATTCGTCGGGGAGGACGGAGGTGTTAGATTCGATTTCGACGACGTCGATGGCGACGGTGGGGACTTCGGCGAGGAGGGTGCGGCGGAGGGAGTTGGCGAAGGCGAGGTCGACGGAGCTGAGGCGGAAGTCGACGCGGTGTGGTTCGGCCTGTTTTGGTTTTTGTTCGACGTTGGTTAGAGTCTGTAGTTTGGTCTTCTTTTTCTTGGTCTCTTCCCTTTGCGTCTATTTACCTCTCTGACTGTTACTTGAGGGCCCTGGAGCTCGATGTCCATTTCATCATAGTCCATGATGGATGGGGGGAGCAGCCGCGCGAAGGCTGGCTTCCTCCCTTGATTGTGGTTCGGGGGGTGCTGTTTACTCTGTATTCATGGATCGCTGTTCTGAAAGTGCAGGCACACAAGGTATGAGATGGTCTTGAAAAGTTAAAAAGTTAAGTAGCCGGTGGAGAGCTTTTGAGGCGGTTGAGAGATGTCTGGACTTGTAGAAGTTGAAGCCCAGAGCTTCGATATCGATGTTCCTTGATTGGGACTAGAGAAGCGTTGTCGGTGAATAGTTTATCCGAATGTTCCTAGAATACTCCCGATGAAAGAAGAAAAACCACATTCATTCTGTTCCGTGCAATCATTCTATTCGTTATTTCCCATCCCATCCCAATACACCAACTAACAGAATATATAATAAAAATATAGTAAAATCAACACTCCCGTGCAAAACTCCACTCACTCTCAACCTTGCAGTGTGTGAAGGATGTAACCAAAATGATAGTTATCATAACTCATAGGGAATGCAAACAAAGCAAAATGGATAAAATATTGAATGACCTCGAAATATAGAGAAATTGCCGTGCAGTCGTGTCGTTTTGTTCGTTTGGTTTTATCATAAAAGAGCATCGATTTTAAAAAAGGGGAAAGGGAAGTGGTTCCTAATTCCAGATTCCTCGCTCTTAAGAAAGGCAAGAAATAAGGCAGACAACAAACAACACGCCAAACCATGGATGAACAGATCTAAGCATAAAGCCATCTCCTCGCCCCACTAAAATCAACGGCAAAGGAGTTTCTCCCGTCTATGGTTTGTTGGTATATCACAACATAAGTCGGGCAAAATATAAGGGGGACCCGATATGAGAAAGGTCGAAATCAGGATTAAAAACAAAAAGATGGTGGTTGGGTAAACTGGCGACCAAGAAAAGAAAGGAGACTTATGGCGGTGCATCACAGCATCCAAAAATAAGAGGAAATGAATAAATAAATAAATAACAGAACCGTCCGTCTAAATATAGTGCTTGACCGAAGAAAAGAAAAAGGCAAAGGAACAAATGCAGCACAAATGCACCAAATACTAATTTGGTCCCCCACTCCCCCACCTCCAAAATATCTTCTAATCAGCTCAACTAACGAAAAACAGTTATGGGGATACAAACAGGGGGCAAATCATTTTCTATCATCGAAACCATTCAGGAAAACAGAACTCTCTAAGGTTCGGAATGGGGGTTGAGCGAAGAGGTGGTGGAAAACGAGGGCTAGCTAGCGATATGTATGTAGAGACAAGGGCTTTCCTTTGCCCTGAAGAAGAAGGGTAGAAAGGAGGTCTCCCGGGAAAACTAGACAACAAGATAAAACATGTGAGCCACCCAGAGGATGATTGGGTCTTGGCTAGACGAAAGGGGAAATGTGTAGAGGACAGGGTGATTTGGATAGCGGGAGCAAATATATATATATATATGGGAAGAGGAGGTTCTAGATGTGAAGGATAAATTTTAGAATATATCGTGTATTCATAACATCAAGAAATGATGTTAGCCTGCTGTCGGTGGGATGAGAGCATTGGCCGCGGATCTCGAAACGCATTTAGCAATATTGTCTAATACAAAACTCGAAAGGGTAGTGAGGTCGAACAAGGAGTAGGACGAAGAAATTTTGCCGCACTTTGCGCATAAATTCTAACAATAAAACAGAGGGGCTGGTAATCTCTATCAAAAGAAATTCCAATATGATGTAATTAGTCCCCGGCATAACGGAGGAGACTGATCAAAACGACAGGTTGTGTGTCGACGATGTCCTCCAAGGAATCAGCTGAATAGTTCCACGATATGTTGAAAAGTAATAGGCAGTGAGACGGCAATAGATAAAATCATCCCAAAAGTAAGGCAATATGCAGCCATTACCAAGAGAAATAAAAGCCAGCCGGGTACAAATATCGAGTACTATGATCTCTTGAGAGAGCTGCGATTTAGAGCATCGAGGAGCTCCGGGCGAGTCGCCAATGCCGCCGCGGCCTGCGCATAGGTAACCCATTGTCGTTTCCGCTTGTGCATTTCGGGCCACTGGGCTTCCTCGCGGTCAACGCGAACCTCGAAGAATTGATACAGCACCTTGGGTGCCTTCAGGGACACCTGGGCCGGGGTCCGCATGTCTGCGATCTTGCCTAGATCACGTAGGACAGTGCAGACGACGCCTGCCTCCTCCCAAGCTTCGCGGCAGGCAGCCTGCTGGGCGGACGCCTCGTCCAACTCCCAGCCGCCCTTGGGGAGAACCCAACCTCCGCGGCGAGTAGACTGGATCAAGAGCACCCTGGACTTGTCAGGGGAGATGGGGACGACGCCGGCGACGAGTCGTTCGCCGCTGGGGCTGTAGCCTAAAGGAAAGTTCCGATGGAGCGGACATGTCAGCGGAACTTGTTGGTTTACCAAGCCAATAGAAGGGAGGCAACGGGGTCAAAGCAGGGCGCGACATTGGCGAGCGTAGCCAGTAGGAAGGGGGAGAAAAATGGGGGCCCGTTCAGTAGGGATTGATGGGTATGGGGTGAGGGAGAGTAACATAGTGATGTACGTTGACGAGTAGGATATATAGTGGGTGTAGTTGAAGGGAGAAGAGGTGAGGAGAGACGATGTGATCTCATAGAAGTCAAGGTTGGTAGGTGGTGGTGGAGGGGGAACAGGACAAGGAGATGAGGGGCAGGGGCCAGCAGCGAGGGGAAGGCGAGAGAGGAACGGGACACGTGCTCCAACCAAAGGGTCAGCATTGCCTACTCACGCTGGTTCGTCCTCCCCGTCCGCGACTCCATCTTGCACGACTGGGCCATTGTTATTGCTCGCCTGTCAACAGAAACCTTCGTTCGTCTGTCGTCGTCGTT